CGATCGAGATTCGAATCTTGATCCAGTTCTCTAAATCAACGGCTGGATCGATGTGTTTTCTTCGGCCGATCAATTACCCGGGCCGATTCGGACCGTCGAAACGATCTAGATCCGTTCGCGAGCGGTTTTTATTCAAATCGGATCTTCCACGCAGCCGCAACCTAGAAATTCGAGTCTAGTGGAGCGAGAATTCGGCGTAAGAAAGTGAGAACTAGCCGAATGATCTTTGTACTTGCTTCTTCTGCGAAGGTTCTGATAATTTAACAGTTCGAGAATAGTTTCTTTAGCTGTGGCAACAATAAATCTTGATTATACTTCATCTCAATCGCAGTTACGAAGTTCTTCGTTGCTTAATCGCTCTGTGGAAATGTTAAATGTAATCTTGCTTCAGTTCTTCTCCGCTGGAACGATTAATCAACCCTTTGCACTGGAAAAGTTGTTCGTTAGAAATATTCCAAATTTTCCTATGAAATATGGACGAAATTCTTTGTATTTAACTAATGGGAAAACACACATGGACTAAGCAACTGAGCTGTTTTGCTTCAATATTTCAATCCAATAAAATCTCCTAAAGAAAATAGAAAAATGAAACTGAAACGAGTCACTGAGTTCGTAAATATAATGTCGTAGTTTATAATTTCTAATAACGATATCTATAGGGTTAATTTCATTTTCATTGCGTAAAATATAGGATCACGGCCGTCGCAAATATGTGACGCTGGTAGTGATGGTGTTAATATTTTACGTAAGACCTTTTAACTTTATATCGAATCAAGTGATGAATGAGAGTCACCTCTCGAGTGCAAAGGGTTAGAGGATCGAAGTTTTATGTGGTGCTTGTTTCCCTGAACTTACGTACGAGCATGTAAATCCGTGCTAATATTTACACCTTGTAAACAAAGTACACGATGGTTAACCGAGGCAGCGAATAGATCGTGATCGCCGGTGTTTCTTGTCGTAGTTTCGCGCAAATAAAGTTATGACAAGCTGGCAGGAGGTCACGAAACCGTGCCGACCTGTCCGCGTGATTAGAATCGAGACGCGATCTTTACTTTCGTCCTTCGCTCGGGCCGCCTCGTTACGGTAAAACTTTCTTTTCCGCTGCCAGGCAAAATCCTAAGCAGAACGGGACAGAAATCGGCGCCGCTGCCAGAGCATTCCGGTGCGAAACAGCCGTGTGAACCGCGAACAAGAAGTTTCCACGAACGCTGCGCTCTCTAAACGCGAATCCGCGGAGAGTATCGCGTCGGAACCATTTTCTATCGGATTTTTTAGCTTCCGTCGAACCGCTCCGGCTCAACTGTACTCCGATACAGCTTCTGCAAACACATTCTCGCTCCTTAAAAACAACTCGGAACAATAGAATTCAATGAAACTTCGCAGGAACAGCGTGAAACGTTCATCCGATACGCAAAGGAGATTGGTGAACACTTGGTCGACTCTAGAAACGGAGGTTTACCTTCATGCAAATGTGTAGTTACGTTTATTTTCGCGTCGGTCACATGTTTCCCCGCGCCACAGTTACTAATATTAGGCGAGACACACGAACGCGAGAGACATGATTTCGCTTTTTGCGTCAATGAGGTAATCAAATTTTTGACGCGTTCGTATCCAGAAGCACAGCGAGTGATAAATTATTCATAGAACAGGATCACGCTCTTGCCAACGGCAGTGTATATAATAAATTGCTGTATTTAAATCGCTGAAAGTAGAATGCTGTTGTACTTCGTATTTTTGGATATCACTTCCATTAAGATCTCGCTGTGTAACGCAGCCTTGAAAAATCTACATCTAAAGAAACCATCGAATCCATAAGAACGACGTAATTCAGGGAACAAAGGATCAATGAAATAAGAAAAATGGTGGCGATAAGTATAGGTAATAATGGAACCACGAGAGAACTGGATGAAATCGGTTTCGTCGAGGAATGTATGGGGACAGGTTAAATATCGAAATATCAGTCGGTCCTCGCAGAAACGGGATACAATGGAGTTGGTTTTGCAGCGACAACGCTGAAGATCGAATGTCTCGGATGTAAAAGCGATCGTGCCGGTGCCCGATTCGACGGTACGTTCCTTGATCGATTGCTCGAGGAAAGTGATTCAAGGCGCAGCTCATTTGACCGTGTTTCGCGCCGCTCTTATTACACGCACGCGTTCACGAAGTGTGCGCGCTGTCTGCCCGCCGTAAATCCGGCATGCATCGGCACGATACCCCGAACGGACACGGCATCACAATGTCAGCCCCGATTCGATTAAAACAGACAAATTTGACACAGATACGCCTGCCGGGGCGGCGTTGATCGATCGCGTATTTCAGATCCGAGTGATACGCCGGTCGCCGACGCGCGGCTACCAATTAATAATAAATCATTAAAGGGATAGCGATCTAAGAACGTCGGTCTCACTCGAGCGATTCATGGCGGGCTCGGAACAATTGAACGTCGATTAACATCGCCCCGGAATACTGAAAAGAATTTCAAAACGCGAGCGTTCGACGGTCGACTGCGATACCTTGGTCTGCAGACTGTCTCGACGACAATTCTGTTCTGTTTTTATCCGCGAGCAGCGACACGAGCACACCGTACCTTGATATTTTCGCGAATACCTTTCGAAAATTGCTGGAACCCTGGAGAATTTAGAGCATTTTAAATTAACTTGAAACCGGTTGATTGGCTGAGAATACAAAGAAACTTGTAAACAAAATAGAAACGCAGCGAGTTCTGATTGATAGAAAGATAAAGTGCCTTTCCATCGAGTTAATGGTAACACTTTAACCATCGTTCTTCGTGAACAATCAGATTATCTTCCGTTCAATTCACACGAAAGCCTCGGCGACGCGCTGTAGACGGTTGGTCTACGAAAACGACACTTTCCTGGAAAAAAACAAACGTATCGATCATCTCGGCAGCATAACGGGATCAAAGACCGGTTGCCCAATGCAAAGATTTCTTCTTCTCGCTCGGCGTTGAATCTCGGCTGACAAAATGTTTCGCGTGTCCGCGTCGAGCGACAGATGTTACAACTTCCTCGGGCAGATACGACGTTGTTCGTACGGAACTCGAGACGCTTTCTTATATAATCGAATCCCGTCTAGCCGCGGAGAGTCAGCAATCAGCCGGTCCGCAGATCGGATCGTTTTCCGCACGCATCTCGACGGAAAATCGTCTGAGAAAGAACCGGTGTGTTCCCAGTAGCGGAACGTCCATTAAGATTCACGTAACGCGCGCCCATCGCGCAGGCCGGCGTATCCGGTCCCGATTAACGCAATCCTCGTATCGTGACGCGGTCGACAGAAGGGCCGGTTCGATCCCCGATTAATCAATCGCGAGCAGCGATTAATCACCGGGGATGCGTCGATGTTTCGCAACCGCGTCTCGAACAATGGTTCACTTTTACTCTCGGCAAAGAGCACTTTGTTCTGTTCGGGGAATCGCGGCGGCGTTCGACGAGCCGAATCGTCGGTCGTATTGGAAATATGGAAATAAATTGTATCGAAGAACGGTGGGGGATACGATAACGAGCCGGCGATCGTCTCGTTCGGTTGGTTTCGTTGCGAACCTTCCTATAATTAGGTGTCAATTAAGTAATGGAAACTACCGCCGGGCATTGTAATAAATCCAACGGGAAAGTTCGACGATAGAATTTACATTCCGATTATTTATGCAACAGTGTTACGCTCCGCTGTTGTAATAACGCGTATTTATCACCGAGATACCGGTGTTCGGAGTGTCCGCGCGTGAACGCCTCGTTCTACTGAATTCTTTAGCATATTTTTATTCGGGCCTGTCTTTTTTTCCCATACGCGCCGTGTAGTCCATGCGTCTCGGCGACTGTTAAGATACTCGAGTGATAAATATAGACGTTCCAGCAAGTGTTCACGCGCGCGAACCTCTAGCGAGCGTGTTGACAAATGAGAACATAGAAAGGAAATATCCGCCGTACGTTCCTGAAACCGATGGAGTAAAAGTCGCGAGAGAAATTGCACCACTCTTAATTTCTCTTAGGTACCGACACACGTTTCTGACAGGCCATTGCGGCTGCGGTCGCGTGGAATTTCGAACGGCCACCGTGGTTTCCTTCTTTTTTCGTTTTCGGTAAAAGGACGGGCTCGATCGCGAACAAATTGGACACTCTCGGTCGCGTTCACTTTTGCTTCGTGCGTCGCGCCGCTCCGCGCCGCGCCGCGCCGCGTCGACGAGCGAAGGCGCGCGTTCACGTCGACGGTTTACGTGTTCCGACAATCGGAATCGAGGTTGAAACGGATATTACCTGCGACGGTGACAATACGGTTCGTATAACGATCGAATCAGAAAGAAACCGCCCGTCGCCCGGCGTCCATACCAATGAGCCTCATCAAAATTCGAACGAACTTGATCCGGGCCGACCGGCTGGAAATTCAAGTGTAACCTTGTGGTCAAGTTGCTCGTTGAACGTGCGCAGATGCGACTATTTATTTTCGGACGATCGACTGTACGGGTCTGCTTGTTTTCAACGTTCTGTCGCTCTATTTTTGAGCATTTATTTCCGACGTATGACGGACCGCCAGAAATTTAGGCGTTACGCTCGATGTTAACAATTCGATCGTTGCTCCGGTATTTTTCACGCGAGAATCGTTGTCAAGGCTGATTTATTAAAAACCTGCGATCTTCATATTGGTCTATCTTCTCCATTGATACCTTAAACTGTCCCTAGGGACAGACAGTATTAAATTTCAGGAATAACATTCTGTAAATCACACGTCATTAGAAAATCTGTTCATATCCTTCGTAGTAGATTTCATTAAAGCACCATGGACAAAAGAGATTATGTCTGTTTCTTGCGTACACGCGCAATTTTTTGACTTGCACGTCGCCTGAATGGAAAGTGAACTGAGTAGAGCTCCGCGTTTAACGTGTTCAACGCGCCTGTTCGATGAATTGAACCTCGATTTACAAGATGAATCTCTATCTACAGACTCATTAACACGATCTTCTAATAGTTGTTTAACCTTTGTTCCAGGAGCCAATCGAAGGCCTCCTATCTGGCTTACCGGCGTGAGCGCGGGGCGCCCGACAGCGAGGGCAGCTACAAGAGGACCATGTCGCCGACATCGCGGCTAGAGGATTGGCCGCCGCCGCGGGATCACGACGATCCGGTCCTACTACGCGTTACGCCTCATCATCCGTTGCAGCATCATCACCATCACCATCACAACAATCACCAGCCGGAGTTGTCCAAGTCTCACAGCGTGGACGCCCTCCATCATCGGCTGGAGGAGCGCGCCGTGCAACAGCAACAACACTCGACGGATGTGATCGGGAAACTGTCGCACGACCTGAACAAGAAGCTGCAGGCGAGCGACGCCAGGTCCAGGACCGCCGAGAACAACAACAACGACAACCTCGAGGACCGGCACCAGCACCACCATCATCATCACCACCATCTGGAGAAACGGCAGCAGGAGAAGAGGCACGATTACGAGCAGCGCAGGGAACGACTGTCGCCGCAGAGCGTGGAGGTTCTTAACGACAGGAACCGGCAGCTCGAACGGGAACGTAGAAAGCTGGCCGCCAGTTGCGAACCCCTACCTCAGAACAGAGAGGTAATCTTTATTTTAAGACTTAGTATTGGACTCGAATCGTTTAGAAAAGATGTGAAAGATTCCTTCTAGAGTCTACAGAACTTTACAGTTTGATTAGAAGTAGGTTTCTCTAGGGTCATTAGGATCTTCAAGGTTTGGTAGAGTTTTTAAGCGTCCTAAAAATTTTGGAGATATCAAGGATTCGAGGAGGATGGTTTTAGGGATCGAGTATACTTGCTCAAATCTGCTGTTCATTTATTAGCTCTATTAGTCAAAAGTTTCCACAATGATATTATCGGTTTATATTCTAAATTACTATGAACGTGATTATCACTGAAATTTCTTTCCGATTCAGAAGCAATCCCGAAGCATGGACGCTCCTTCGTCGGTCGAAGAGGACTTCTTCCGCGAGCGCAGCGCCACCATCGAGATGACCTCGCAGAACATCGAGCTGCTGAACCGTCGCAACGAGAAGAGAGCAACCGCCACTTCGACGACAACTACCACGATCGCCACCTGCATCACGACGTCGTCAACGTCGACCACGATGACGATCACAACGGACAGTTGGTCGCGTGGCAACGAGGTCCAGACCTCCATCGAAACTTCACCCGCCTCGGAGAGGCCGCCGCCTCCGACGAGTTCGCCGCCAAGATCGCCCGATCAGATCGAAGGCGACAGCCTCAGAGGATCCATTCCCAGACGATCGGGGAGCTGTTCCAGTTCCTCGTCGTCGTCCAGATCATCCGACCCCCGCATCTCGCCGCGAAATTTGTCGAATAGTTTCTCCAAGATCGAGGGCTCGCCTACCAGCAGGAAAGTCTCCAGTCCAACGCAAACGGAGAGCACTTCGAACAGGTCTTGCTCGCCGGTCCGCTCGAGTCAGACGAACGAGATAGAGCTAAGAGTGGAGAGGTCATCCTCGTCGGCCAAGTCCAGGTCGGGAGGCAGGTCCTCGACGTCTTCGATCTCCAGCATCTCCAAAGCTTCGTCCTCGTCCTCGCCGAGGAACTCGCCGGTTCAAGAAATGAAATCCTCTCCGGCCGCGTCGCCTTGCGTGTCGCCGCAGCCTGGCATCGAGGGACTGACCCTGGTGCAACGCACCGAGGTCGTTCTCCGAGTGAACACGGCCACTAGCGATGCTGCCTCGCAGACTGATCTTTTGGAAACAACGGAGACCGAGGTTTGCACGAAGGCCCACGAACTTCCTCTCTGTCGAAAGAAATTGCCCGAGGAGATCGAGTGCGAGGAACTGGGCCGGGATCTGGCGAGTCAGCTTAGTCCGAATGATAAACTGGTTCCTCTCCTAGGTGAGCTTGATTGATTATTCCGTTGAAACACTTGAAGATATCTGGAAATTCCAGTTTCATCGAAACGCTATTAGCGTTGATATAAAAGTTGTTTCTATATAAAATCTGCTGCTGGTCGAGTCGGTAGATGAGACTAAACATTGTAATTTGTAGAATAATTGCTTCTGCCTTATCATTTCACCATCAGATAAGTAATGTGTAAACTGGTTGCTTGAAAATCGCTCTGCACAGGAGGCGTAATCCTCTTTAGTCACTAACGTCTACATTGTAGAATCGATGTTAAACTTACCCACGGTCCGCGAGGATGGAACACGCCGAGGGAAACCAAATTGCTGTTTACGATCTAGAATAAATCGTGCCGGTTTATCTCGCGATGGGTTACAGTGTCGGATCGGCACCGCGTGTCTTGGGCATTTCGCTTCATCTTTAATTCCAGGTTTAGACTAATCCCGGATTACCCGCGTCCGCGCCGATTACGTCTAATAAAAGCCGCGCAAACATCGCCGGTATCGGTATTCCCTGTCGTCGTTCCTCAACGGCTTAACGTAATCCTACAGATTTAGTGCGGCTAATGGCATCGTCAAACATTCAGCTCCGAACCCCCTCGCCGACGATTTTATTGCATTTTCTGTTACAATCCTTCGGTCGCCGACAATTACGTCGTGTGCACCGATTCCCATGCACACGTGGACTGGCACGTACGGTTCATTCGTCTGGCAGCAACTTTGTGGCGTAGACTAAACTCGCCTCTCGCAGCTCGAATATTTTGTCGCTTGATTTCAATTCGGATTCCTGTGTTTGGCTTTTTTTAATGAGAATTCGAATGTGGCACACCGAAGTGGGTTTCGCGAAATATGTTATTTGTTATTGACAGTCTATTCCAGATACTGCAAATGTACGTGAATCAGACATACAGAATAAAATTGATTTACATACAGCTCTGTCTTCGAGGAAATCGAATGATTAAATCATATTCTGCTGAATATGGCTGACTAATATGTCTGTCTATTGCCCACCGTTTCTACTTCTATTGGACAAGTGATGCGGCAAAATCTGTATTTTACCGATCGCAATATTCGCTGCGTCTTCTCTTATTGCTAATGTAATCAACGTCACGCATGACGATACATCGGTATAAATATTGCTGTGTTCAGTTTGTTCTCTCGTAATTTCGATGATCATTTCCACAGTATGTTTCGCCTTTTTTCTTCGAAGCTCCATAATCGAATCGCGTTTCACGTGTTTCGTTCATTTACGACGATTCCGCAGCGTGTAAACGTTAATACTTATGTGCATAGATAATCGTAGTTTCGGTTGTCGAACTATAAATGACAACAATCATTGAAGCCGCATTGTGCTGTTGCAAAGTCGTGCGTCATCGACGGGCTGCACGTTGGCCGGGGTCGACGACCTTTTCTTTTAATAAGCGGTAACCCAATGGACGGCCGCGTTATTCAATTACACGTCGCTGCATTCCCGCGATATTGAACGCGTGCGTTATGGCTTCGGAGCCGGGAACGGGGATTCCTGGAGCGTAGACGGTGGAGAAAAGAAGGGGAGCCGGGCGTGTGTAACAATCTTGTTTGTTATCAGTTCCAGCGCCGGAGCACAAGAAGCCCGCCGACTACGTTTCCGGTCTGTTCAGGGTGGAGGCGACCTTGCAGCCGAGACCGAGGCGCCGGCTGTCTCTGGAGGAGCCTACGACCCCGTGCTCTGAAAACGGGGCCGACGATGAGAAAAAGTGAGTTCACACCCGACAATGTAATTACTTTGAAATAATAGTCTCTGGAAGGATTGAAAGAGGACTTTAGCGGATTTCGTGTAATTCGTGTTCGAGTAATATATAAATCGCTCAGAAGCCATGCGGTTAAGTCGATTTTTTTATATCTTTTGATTTTTGTCAATTTTGATGGAATAAATAATATCGTTTTTAGTTATTAGAGGATTTACTTGCTTTTTCTAGATCTGCTCTTCTTTCTATAGCTTCTGAACGTGTGTAATAATTTCAAAAGTCAAAACATTAGTTTTCTAAGTTTTTGTTTTCTGGACTTCGCATTGACTTCTGAAATTACTATGTATTTAGAAAGTATAAAATTTCTTCAAGCTCTCTGGCCTAGAAAACGAAGAAACGAGTAAATCCTTAATAACTAAAAAGAATATTTATTCCATTAAAATTTATAAAAATTAGAGAATATAAAGAAATCGGCTTAACAGTATCGTCTTCCGAGCAACTTGCGTATCGATACGTTTCAAAAATAGCACGTCGCTGTACTTCAAAGGAGCAAGTAATACGTTAATGGAATTTCGAGGTTATGAGTAATTGGAAAGCAGGAAATTCTTATTCGTCGCTATTCTAAAAGAATTCCGAATTGGGAGTCGGTGATTTGCATGTTTCCTAAACTGTCTTCGAGGCAGCGCAACGGGGTTCAGAGAATTATCTAATAGGCATGGAACAGTGAAACGAAAATGTATCGAGTTAGACTTGTTAGAGCGAGCACGCGGATTGCATCACGAGCTTCAACCTGTCCGGAGCACTCCCCCGCTGCAGTTACGATTGTTCCCGTAGCGACTGCCGTTTCTTTCGTTTCTCACTCGAGTTCCCTATCCGACGAAACAAATAGGCACCCCGTATCCAGCGTGCACACCGTCTCGACAGCTTGTCATTATCGTTGCATAAACGCGATCCGATCTTCCTAGATGATTCGGGACGTCGATATTTCATACGGGTTGCCCCAGCGCGACCGCCACTTTCACCGAACAGCCCGGAACGCGGGCCTCGGTCGATTATCGGTCGCGATTTCCCTGGCGTTTTTCATGATCGCGCCTCGGACAACTGATTATCGGGATTAATTTTCCCGTGAAATTACAGGAACGACGAAGTGTCCGTAAAACGCCGTAAAACTTCGAGAAATGTACGATGTAACAACGAACCGTACGAAAGGAAACAGTATTCTATGTAGAATACATATCGAGGACCAATTGAAACACTACAGGTTAAGCAAAAGCCCCTTTCATTGCCCCGGATAGTCCCATTAAATGGTTAATTGCAGAAAATTTTATTACACGAAAGCTAACCCCCTTTTCGTACCGGTTCTTACTTTCGCATAACGAAACGCACACACACTGCCATAGAACGCGTACAGTTTTAGTAACTCGGCTAACCACGTCGCGCTAGGTTCACCTGCGTATCCCGTTGAACAATGGCGGAGAGTTGCCCATTTTTCCGCGTTGCATCCCCGACACGTGGCTAAAGAGGTCAGCCGCGCAGAGGATCGCTCACAGAGATCCTTTCTTCTCCGACGTCCGCGTGGGCGTCGAGAGGCTCCTAAGCGGGCATCGTTAATGAACCGGCCATTACCGTCGGGATTTAATTGTCGTTTTTCAGCGGCGAACGCTACCCGCGGTGAGCCGATGACAGGGCCCGACAGCTGAACAAACTGCGCGCGATCCGTAACTTATCGTCCGGCATTCGGACCTCTAACCGTTCGCCGTTGTCAAGGCCGCTAGCAAAGAAAGCGATTCGCGGTGTCACGTAAACAGACGAGTGCCGTGCACGTTGGGCGGACATATTACGGCTGTTTCGATTGGAAACGGGTTGGCGAAGCGATCGAGTGAAACACAAACAAATCCCGTGAAAGACGTCGAAGATGATTCACCAGAGAATGATCGATGTCCGCATCGATAAACGATCACGCTTTCTTCGGCGATTTTCGAAGCCCCATCGCTCGGAGACAATATTTACGCCGGCACGCGCCGGGAGAAAGTACCAGAGGCGCAAGATCATTGCGTAACTAGCCATAAATGATATTGTTAGACCGGCCACTCGGTGGTCTACGCATCATTTTCTCCGGCAGTGTGCGACGGACAAGCGGTGACATCGTTTCGATCGATCGCGCGCGCGCCGACTGGATCACGAAAGAATGGATCCGGCGGGAAAGTACGTCGGAACGGAGTTCGGAGTGATTCCCCGGGCAGATATCCTCAGCCGTTTCTCTCCGCGAACTCGGGCACGGATTCGTTCCGCGTGAACATCGTGTTTGAAGAGAAATTAATGAAATTTATCGACCCGTTTCGTCGGGCCGGAGAGATACGTCGCGCGCGGATCGGAAATCGCGCGGAAAAACCGGCGCGGGTACTTGTTCGAAAGCTGTCGGGCCGCGGCGAGACGCGCGAGGCCCGATGGAGCTGTCGGCGAATCATATTTACTCCGAATTGCTTCCGGTTTTCATTAATTACGCTGTCCGGCTCTTCTAGCTCGACGGTCCCGCGCCGCCGACGGCTGATCGGCGTGCTCGCTTTTCGAATCGCCTCGGGAGCGGTCGCTCGCTCTACACCAGCTTTCCTTTCTTTATCACTTTCTCCTCTTTTATAGAGTCGCTCGACCGACGCTATCCCCGTTCCGCTGATAGCGGCGGCGTTTATCTCGGCCGGATACCGGCCGCTCAAATATTTCATCACGCCCCCGATCCCGCGAACTTGAAACCCCGGTGGCGCGTTGACCTCGCCGCGCTCGCGTACTCCCGTGGATCGGACACGCGTTCCCGCGCGGACGTCGTAAATCAATCCCCGCGACGATCCCTCTTCCCCGAATCGTGCCGATCGAGTCAACCGTGAGTCATGCGAATGATGCAATCCGCGGCGACGGTCGTCACGAGCCGGCGCGGAGATTTTCGCGCGGAGATCACGAGGATACCGTCTCGCCCGGTGAAAAGAACGGTTTGGTAATGCCGGTGGGTCCTGTTTCAGGCACGAGTCGATACCTTCCACGCCGGTCACTCCGCTCTCGACGGATTCCGTCAGCCCGCTGTCGCCGACGTCGGCGTACTTCACCACGTCCGAAGGGAAAGCCAGGTTCCTCGCGAGATACTCGCGCGATGTCACCGTTGAGGGCTTGTCGCGGCAGGAGGACGCGCCAACGGTCATTCCGACGGACAGCCTTGATCTCAGGCAGAAAAAGGTATGTTGCTGAACCTGGAATATTGTAACCGTGTATTCGTGAGAAATTGGTCGATTGAATTCTGTATTAGTTTGCGATGATGGATATATAACGAATTTTTGTACTGTTTGTAATTGAGGTCACTTCCGATGTTGACCCTTTGCGCTTCCATGTGGAGCGTGACATCAGTTTTATTTACAGGTGTGATTTTTTGTCAAGATATTTTTCAAATAGATGATATTAAATAGTAGATTATATCAAATAGTTTTATTCATAGGTGTGATTCTTTGTCAGGATATTTCTAAAATAGATTACATTATTATGTTATTCTCAATGTTATTAGTAAGAAGAATAGTTCACACTGCTCTCTACAAACTAATTATTTTTTTTAAATGCACTTCAAATAAAATATCGTAATAATACAGAGTTATCGAGGAAAAAATGCAAAAGAAATTCGGAGTGAAAGGGGTTGATGGCAATGATGATTAAAGGATCTCCAGCGTAAATAGAGACATTAAGATTTCGTCGGTCATTCCATAAAGCGTCAACCGTGTAATTAGTTGCACCGATCTCGAAAATCGCTGTAACGACTATTGCGTCACCGGGAAAGCGATTCCGCTGGAACTCTGATAATCACTTTCTACGTGCCCTGGGGTAACCGCGTAAGGGAACACGCGTGACCGTGAAATCGTGGCTTACGAGCATCGATGGAACGGTACCGGGAACTGCAACTGATTTCCTTCGCAGGAGGAATTGATGATGAGGCTCGACAAGAAGCTGGTAGTCCTGAGGGCCGAGCAGGAGGCCGTGAGAGAAGAGGGAGAGGTGAACGAGGCACTGGGAGCTCGCGTCTCGACGCGGATCTCGGCGGTCGCGCGACCGGCGGAAGCCTCCAAGTATCGGCTTCACGTGGAGGAAGTCGGAAAGATCACCAGTCTTCTTCTTGGCCTAAGTGGCAGGCTCGCTCGGGCCGAGAACGCCCTCTACGGAATGCCGGCCGATCACGCTGAACGAGTGAGTAGATATCTCAAGTTTCTGTATTTGAAATTCCAAGTGATCTCCAATTTGTAGCTTTTATTAGCCCTCAGGCTATCAATCGAGACACACGTAGTTATTACATGTAGTTTCAATATTTCGATGTTTTACGTGAACTCCTAGTCTCGAACGTTTCGGTCAATAGTATCTGATTCGCGGGTTGAAAAAGTGATTAATGATAATATAAAAGCATCCGGTTGCTCACTGAAGGTCTTCATTCGAAGAATACGAGGAAACCTTAGAATAAAATGGGTGATCCTGTAATCGCGGTCCGGCATTTTATAAGCTATTAAGGATCTTTTTGCTCGAGGTGAAAACTTCCTATTATCGCATCGGGAAAGAAGAGAAAAGGAAACGTTCGAATAAAAAGCGGTTTGATCCCCCGTGCGCAAGTCGGCCGGTCAAATTGCCTTACGATCGTTTTCACGAACACTTCATTAAACCGCGGACTTTTAAATAGCCGGGTAATTGAGCGTTTGCGCGATTAGCAGAAAATTTACCCGGCGTCCTTGGGTCCCCCTACGTGTCCCGTAATCCACGTCGGTGGAAAATAATTTGTAGTTGTCGGACAGGAAGGCCGCGAAACGTAGACATAATTATTTATCCCGCTTGAGGAAAGTCGCGTTGATTTATTGATGAAGTTTTGCGCAACGCGGGAACGACAGCTGTGACCGGCCGTGTGCGTACGTAACTTCCATGAGAGTCATCGTTCGTTGCAGGAAAACATTAACGGTGAATCAATATTTTCAGAAAATCCTCGAGAGCAAGAGGGACAAGCTGGTGGACCAGCTCGAGGAGGCGAAGATCCTGAAGAGTAACATCGACAAGCGCAGCGTGAACGTCTCGACGATCCTGTCGAAGTACCTGAACGACGAGGAGTTCGCCGATTATCAACACTTCATCAATATGAAGGCGAAGTTGATCGTGGACGGCCGCGAGATCCAGGACAAGGTGAAGCTCGGCGAGGAGCAGCTGGCCGCGCTGAGGGAGGCGATCGACTAGTCGTAACAAAATTGCACCGATCGCGAACCGATCGTTACTGAGGGACGCGTGGCCCGCGTTCCCAGCGAACAGCGAATTCGCGTTGTCTTTCTGTCGCTTTCCCCCTTTTTCGTTTCTTTTTTTTTCTTTTTTTTTCCTTTTGGATTGTTCTATTGAGCGCCCCTCGACCATGATGGAACGACGAAGAGAAGGAGTACGCAACTTGCGAACAAGTTTTACACGCGTCTGCGACATCGGTGAATGGAAAGTGATAAATATCCATAATCGATAGGTATCGGTAGCTTGAAATTACTTTTTAACCGTTCTGTGTATATACATGTATCCGCGTCCTAGACGGACGAAGCGTCGAGGAGCCTTTACGTCTAGAGAAATTGTACTTGTCCCCCAGTTCTTTTGCGACCAACAGAATTTTATAATCGATCCCACGATTACCAAGTGTACTTTCATGTCCACCGTCCTAGGTGGAACTGCTCCGTGCGAGCGGACGATCTTCAAGATCCAGAGACAGCCGTAAGTGCCTAGTCGATGCCGAGCTCGCGTCAGTTGTTACCCGCGGTCCGCCCAAACAGATAAGAATGAACTGTAATTCGTGAACGGGAGACGATCCGGCGAAGAGAACTGTTATGCTACCTTACGTCATAAGGGAATCGTTGATTGTCTGTTATTTTCATGTAAATTCGGTAGTCTTGTGTCATAAATCGTTATTGCATGTCCTGCGCGGACGTTGAAGTCTCCGGGCAGGTAGGAAACGTTTCAGTGTTGCGAATCAAAATTTTAATATATTCCAGAGAATCGTCTCTCAAGTTTATGCGTTAATCGAATTGTTCGAATTGGGAATCGCGGTTCGAGGAAGCGGGATGGCAGTTGGTCCATCGCACGCTCGTTCTCTTCGGCGTCAAGAGCAAACGCAATCGAACGCGAGACGCGCGCGGCTTACGGACACGTTTCCATTTACCTGGTCAGCATAATGGTTCGTTCGCGGTGGCGCGTGTCGCGGGATTATTGACCTAGAATTACTTCTGGTGCCTTCTTATATACGATATGTGATATAAGGGTAAGGAGTCACGTGGTCGTGAGAGATGATGTCCGAACGATGCAAGGCAACCGAGCGGCGTGTTGTGTAGCGTGTACATATATATATTATAAACGAAGAGAAAGGTAGTCGTTTAAGCGATGACACACCCGTAGGACAACACACAGATATACACACCCACACACACCCACACAGGTTGGAGAACACGGTGGACACCGGTGCGCGAGCACGCACGCGCACGCGAAACACGTTCAATTCAGAACCATTCTACATGCTCACGTATACAACGATTTATTATTATTTTTTACGTTTTATTCTAACCCCAGGGGCTCCCGTGAGCCCCTATGACGCTTGTGATCTTACTTATCTCTGTATGGCCGAGCCAAGGACTCTCGAAACCGGGCAAGATTGGTGAATCGGACTTTCGAGCCTCCGTGGCGGTCTTACGAAAAATTTTATGCCTCGGTCGTTTTTGAACCTGTCGATATTCGCTGCTCCCATAACCCTTTCTCAACCCTTGTTTCTACGCTTCCTGTCTTCTCCGTTGGCGATCGTCTCGCGACCGGTCACGGTCGATCACGATGACGAATCCGGGTACAGAGAAGACAATTCTAGACGAAATTCAAAGGGAAGGATCCTCCGGTTCTTTGAGCTCGGTAATGAGATACTTATCCGTTGACTCAAAGACTCCGAGATGGAATCCGTTCTTCATGTACGTTCCGGCGAACGGTTCGCTTGTTCACGGTGAAATTTGTAACAGTTCTAGAGAATTTTAGTGGAACGCGCTGAAATGTGTATTTAGAATGGTTTGAGATTTCTGTAGAATTAGAGAGAATATGCAAGTAATCCGGAGGGAAGGTGCAAACCGTTAACACAGAAA